AAAATGTCATATCAGGGTAGCTCACCCCATGTGTCCTGAAGTCACGAAAAAAGTATCTTATCAATTTATTCTTTTGTTATTATAAAAAATAAAATTGAACATTTTCAGATAAAATAAATAAGTATAGAAAAAATTTTAATTACCTGTTATTATTCTACCTAGAGAACCATTGTCAACATTTTGGAATATGTACTGCCAGATGCTTTCCTATGAATATATACAATGTAGTTTTTTTAATATTAAAAGGGGATCATATGATACCTGCTGCTTGTATACAGGCTTTCTTTACTAATATGTAATATGATATATAAGCAGGCAAATGCACACATCCTAAGCCATCAACTCATTGAATTTCTATTCATTGTTTTTAATACCTGCACTTTGTTCCCTTGTTAGGCTATGTCACAACATATTTAATGAAGCCCCTATTGATGAATATTAATTTACTCTATCTGCCAGTTCATTCCAGTCCAACATTTATTGTCTACTTACAGGCCAAGCACTCTTTTATTTATCAAAACCACCATATTATCTGTATCAGTTATTTATTGCCACAATAAAACTGCGTAACAAATCACTCCAAAATGTGGCAACTTAAAACCACAGCCACTTATTATTTCACAAGAGTCCACGGGTCAGCTGAGCAGTTCTGCCGATAAGGGTCAAGGTCAACACATTTCAGCTAGACGACTTGAGAGGTAACAAAGAAAGGAGTGTCTGGGTAGATGTGTTCTTCCAAAAATAAAGCAAGGAATGAGGAAACTGCAGGTGGGATAAGAAAGGTGGTTGGCAAACAAACCCCACAAAAGGCAGAAAAAATTAAAGGAACATAATGCCAGACTCCTATGTCATCATCCAAGAAGATACAGTGAAATATGACCTGGGGGGTGGGAGGGTAGGAGTAGGGAGAGCAGGGGTGAAGGAAGGGAGATCGTTTTTAATCACTTCTCTATTCCTTTATAATAGACATGACTGCAAGTATTAAAATTTAACAAAGGCATATATGATTGTTAAGTTTTCTCTATAAGCCACTGATAATCTTCAACATCTCTCCCTCCCTTCTTTCCTTCTTCCCTCCCTCCCTCTCTCCCTTCCTTTTTTCCTCTTTTGCTTCCCACTTCCTTATTTCCTTTTGCTTTCTTTCTCTTCTTTTTATATCTCACTCTGGATATATGTAGTAGTGTAAAAGGTTGACAGAGAAATCAAATATAAGAAGAGCAGGGCCCTGAGGAAAGCACCAGGCATCCTACAGGCAAACCATCATTTCTTAAAGACAAGACTGAGAGATTGAAGAGCTCAGGGCATTGCCAAATGAACAAGGCAAGCATGTCTATTCCGTACCAAACGAAGAGGAAATGGCCCTTCCAAATAATTGACCTATAAAATGGCCTTTTCACAAGAGTACCATAATTACAATGAAAAACAACTCCCAAACCAAGAAATATTTCTGGACTGAAAGCCATGAGATCTGGGTTCTAACAAGCTGTGCTCCTCCAACTACAAGTACAAGATCTGGCTCTACACTAACAGGCTAGGAGCCTCAAATGGGTGATGGGCATGTTTGGGTCCCTGTCTTCTTCTTGGACATTGGGGTCTTAGAGACCCTTTTCCACAGCCTGATTCTCTTACTAGTGCATATGCTTTACTTTTGACCTCTCGTGCTGATCATCTGAGCAGTAGTAAGAAGCAATTTCAAATGAAAACATCATTTATCATCTGTTGAAAGAACTGCCCCCCCCCCCCGCCAAAAAAAACACGGGAAAATGAAAAGACAATGAAAGGGAATGGAAATGTAATTCATTTTATTAAAAGGGACAATTGTTCTTCTGGGACACTGGGTAGAAACCTTTTGAGTTACCTAGCCATCATACATCCTCTAACAAAGAAGGGAAGAGAAAGAAAGAAAAGAGGGAAGAGGGCAGGATAAAAGAAAGAAAAAAAGGAAGGGAAAAATGAAGGAAGGAAGTTATCTATTCATTTCTACAGAGACTCTGTTGAGCATTAGACAACAAGACTTGGGAAATTTTTAACTGAAACTTTTCCAAAAATCTTTTCAGAAGGATTTTTTCCTTCTGAAAATCATCATTAAGGGCTGTTAAATACCCAAGGCAAACCTCTTTCATATTACTTACTGGACATGAAACACTAATGCAATTGAGGCTATCCAGAGGCCATTTAGAAATTCAGTGATTATTCAACCCAAGGGGCTTTCCAAATGGTAAATTAGCTTCTTAAGAGGAAATTAATATTGAGCAGTATATCAAACCTAATTGGAATCTTGAGAAAATAGTCCTGTGTAGGTAGAACAGCTAGAGGCTAAAGAAGATCAGGTTGGATAATACCTTCACTTTTGTCTTTTGCCTTAATTATGATGTAAAATGAAAAGTCTTGTTTATTTTCTGTGCCAGGAGGGCAGGGTGTGGTTTGGAGAGCTTCCAAGTTTATCAAAAGCTACCTTCAGTCTGGGAGCAGAAAAGTTTACTTCCTTCATTTCTTTCCCACAGACATTCAAAGAGAGCTAAGGAGATACAAAAGACTTTTTTCCTGTATTTGCAATGCAAGGCAGTTGGGAATTAATGACTGATTTGTTGGAGAAGGCAATGGGCATTGATCACAAAAGCAGTAAAGCTGTGTTTCTCAAAGAGAGAACGTCTATTTGAGATTTTCACTATTTTCCTGTTTAGAGGAGAAAGGAGCGTTATATCACATTGGAAGCACTCATGAGTCACTAGCCTCTTCTCTTTCTACATCTTTCTGTATTAATTGCTTAGAAAGCACAACATCCCAAAACCATTGAGCACACAGTCGTCTGATTTTTCTATTTGTGAAAGATGCTAAAGTCTCACTCTAGGATTAATTTGGAGGTCCAGGATATGGGCTTGTAGATGTGACTCTGTCAGACTTTGGTTCCCCTGGCAACTAACCTTTTTGGATCATATCTAAGTTGACCTGTTTCATAGTGAGAGAACTCCTCTCCATTACTGAGAATACTGAGGCAGATCACAAGTGTACCTCATCTGGCTTATGTTAAGCCAGAGCAGAAACAGCAGGCTCATCTCTTGAGAAGACTCACTTATTGAAGACGCAAACTATTTTTTTTTTTTTTTGAGATGGATTCTCACCGTTGCCCAGGTTGGAGTGCAGTGGTGCAATCATAGCTCACTGCAGCCTCAACCACATGGGTATTTGGGTATTTTTAAATAAGAAAAAAATACCAACTGATAGAGACATATGAAGGTGCACTGGGTCATTGTAAACAAAACAGATTCTAAGAGGAGGAGGAAAGAGTATAGTCTCTTTTCAATATGTTTCTTTTAAACTGGGGAAAGAACATTCACTCTATTCCTATAGACCAGAAGGCAGATAATTGTCCTTTATGATTCCAAACCACACTATCTTGTTCAGCTGTCACTGAAACAACTTTGAACACTGTCATACATTCTTCCCAGCTCCCGAACTCTGACCTTTCTATGCCTTAGTTCCACTTTCACAAAATGGGATTGATGTAACATGCATTTCAGAGGAAATGACGATAGACATTTAGTGTCATTATAAATGTTGAGAAGTATGCTAGCAGAAAATATGCCTTAAGATCCTACGTGGATTCTTGCATGGTTTGAAATTGCTTAAAAGATATATGTGGTCTCTAAAATGTATGTGTGTGTGTATATACATATATCTTCTTATGTGTCTCTATATATATATTTACAAATCTATATATATCACATATATAAATTTGCTATTATTTGAGTCGCCATTACCTCAGTACTTAGGGTCATGCACATTTGTTTCTTTTCAGTCCCCAGATCTCATTAACATAAATTCTGTTATCACAGAAGCTCCCATAAGCATTGAGACAATTTGTCTATCCCTGTGACTATTTAGGGTTTTGAAAACAAAATAGAAGCAGGTAAGGAGAACGTATGCTTTACTATTGAAGATTTATTAGGTACATATTTAGATTTGTGAACTCACATTGCTTAAGATAAAAGGAAGGACTCTTGAGGATGTCTGCTGTTCGTTAGTAACTGCCTGTAACAATTGCAATTAGCACACATGAGCACAATGAACTGGGTAGTCAGACTCAGCCAAAATGAACAGAAATAGCCTTTCACCAAATTTGCTTTGAGTAGCCCTTGAACTCTGAGCACTGCTGCCCAGAGTAACATGACTGCAGGTCCAAGCTTTTCAATGACTATGCAAATATGCTTTCTTCACTTTTACTCTATTGCCTTCTGTCTATTATGATATTGCTAGAATGACACCTTTCCAATATCCCTGTGCTCCTTCGGTATCCTCTAAGGGGAAGCTGTAATGAAGTGGTTTACCAAAATAATCCTTTTGGAATTTTTTTTTCATATACTACTGACCAGCATGATTTTTTTCTTATGGGAAATACATAAAGCATGAGTTGGAAATGATGGAAATTAATCTGTACTGACTTGGGCAAGGAGTGTGAATATTATTCAGTCTATACCAAACTATCTGAAAATATTCTCTTTCTGTCCCTAATTCCAGAAGGTAACAAATAACACCTTAAGGGACACTGAAGCCTGTGTGTGTGTGAGTGTATAACACCTGCTGGGGTCTCTTAAACTCATGAGGGAGGGGCTACACGTGGGTGGCATGAGAACTATATGCTGGAAAGAACCATAGGTGGTGACCTTGGAACACTTACCATGTGACAGGTGTTATGCTAAGCATGTTGTATGCATTCCTTCATTGAATGACAGCTACCTATATTATCCTCATTTTATAAGATGAGATAACAGAGATTCAGAAAGGTTAGACTCAGCTACCATGGGCCTGTCTGACTCTAAAGTTCATCTGTTAAAAACTGGGGCACTCTGGAAGTGAGATTCCTTGGTGATGAACAGAAATATTGCTTAGTGGCTGTGTTTTTGTATCTGGCAATTTTCTCATGTTTGAGTCTTATATTCACAATCGATATCTTTATATTACACAATAACATAGAATTAGAGTCATTTAATCCAGGGTTAATATCATTAAGTCATGACTATTTATGAAACATTTCTTACAATATCTGAGATGACTTGATATGGCAAGAAATGTGTGTGATTTTAGGTCTCATTTCGTAGTTGGCTGCAGAAACCTCTTTTAGAGGAGGGATGCTTTCTCTTTGTATCCTAATTTCTCCTTAGTATAGTTCCATACCTCTTTGAAGGGTGTGTAAGAATGCTGGAATGCAGTACCTTGTCATTCGATATGCATTAAGATGTGATCATATGGGGAATAGAAAAATGTGAACGATCCCATTCCTTTTCTACAGAAGGCAGGAAGCTCGTATTTGATAACTCTTACTATAAACTAAAAAACGTTTTGTATGTAGTATACCCGTAGCCATCACCCTGCAAGGTAGATACTGCTCCCCGCCAATTTACGGAGAATACTGAGGCTTTAAGGTTGTAGATAGACCAAGACCACACAAATAGAGAGTGGCAGGCTGTGGGTTGGGCTTTAAAATCCATGTTCGTCCGTGACTCTCTGTGTGTTCTAGTAAATCTGCTAGAATTTGAGTATTTGCCAATGATTAATGCTCTGCTCTATGCCAGGTAGTTCATGATATTTTTCAAGAATCAGAAAATCCTGACGAAGGCACACCGTTTCCCCTTCTGTAGGTGCCTTGGAAGTGACCGTTGTGGACGCAGAGCGCATCCTTTCTGATCCGACACCTTCTTCCCTGCCCTGGCAGGAGGGTCAGTGTCTTTTCCGCAGGGCTGGGAGCCCCCTTAGACCGGTCATTTCCCATCCCTTACGATGATCCCAAAGACAACTTTTCTCCCCACGGAGCTGCCATTCCACAGGCGGCCGCCAGAGGTCCCCGTTCGGAGACCCCGCGAGACAGTCGAGCCCCGGCCGGCTGCGCGGCGCGCTGGGTGCCTGTGGGGGCTGCTCCGGAGCGGCGGCGGCTGCAGCTGGAGCCAGGCGCTCGCCCGTCCGCCGGTTGGCTCGCTGGGACCGCGCGCACCGGCCGCAGAGTCCCTCGCGTGGACTGGCAAGCGACGCCCCTCCTGCCTCGAGCTCACCCTTTTCCTCTCGCGCTGGCTGCCGCTGACCCGGCGAAGGGAGCCTACCGGGCCCTGGGCTGGCGGTAAAACGCCACGGTGAGTAAGAACCCTCTCCGAGCGAGGGGAGGCGGCGCAGCCCGGTGGCTACTCGCTCGGGATCTCCGCCGGGCGGGCAGCGAGGTGCGGGGCGCACCTGGGCGCGGGTGCGGGAGGGTGCGGGAGGGTGCGGGAGGCGGCGGACCTGTCCCCTGCCGGCCGGCCGCGGGCTTCCGGGACTGGAGTCCGCTTCGGACCCCTGCCTGCGTCGGGGCTTCGGGCCGGCTTCTCGTGCGCACTTCCCGGCAGGAACCAGGGTCGCCCACTTTCCACCCCGGGATCCGTGGCCGTGATTTGAAAACATATAAATCAATAAGATCGTCCTCCTTTCAGGGTGCGTCTGTCTCCGAGCCCATCCCTAGCCGCGGACGCCTGCCGGGTGCGTGTTGGGCTGTGGGGTGGCGGGAAGACAAACTTTACACAAGTGCGCCCGGGCTGGGGACCACGCTTGGGCGTCCTGATCCTGAGGGAGGAGTCTCAGCTCGAGGCAGCGTCGGAACTCCGCGAGGTCTGCCGGGTCGCCCCCGGGGCTGTTGATGCCTCATGGAGGTGGGGAGCGTAGAAAGGCCGTACAAATCGCGCTTAACTTTGGGGCCAACAACTGTCAAACATCTGGAATCCCAGCCCCTCCCTTTCCTTGAACTGGGGAAGAAGGCGAAAATCCTTAAACTTTTCTTTGATTGCCCCTTCCCACCTTCAGACCACTGCAGGGAGGGTAAAGCGCCGACCCCTGGCGCCTGGCAAGTACCAGAGACCCTAAATCTCTAGGGAGCCCCCTTGCCTTCTTTCCCGACCCTCTCTGCTGACCCTCCCGGCAGGGACCTTGCGGCACTGTCGACTGGGATCGTGGCAAATGGCCTTTTGTTTCTCCGTGTTTCCCCTATTGTTTGCCTTTCCAACATCTGGTGGGGCCTGGGGAGAGAAGGCAGCCCCTCTGGTCCCCCTCGTCGGCCCCCACGCCAGCTCCGGCAGGGGATCCCAGCTGGGAAAGCGGAGGAGCCGGACCCCGCGAGGCCGCCCCACCCGGTCCTTGCGGTTAGAGGGCGGAGGGAAAGTTGTTTCTTCCCCGCCTCCGCGGCTGCCTGTGGCCCGGGGCGCATTTCTCAGATCTCAGCCCAGGCGCGCCGCAAAGGGCGCAAATCCTAGAAGGGTGCTGCTTTCGACACAGTGGTAGCGGGTTCCGCCTCAATCCAGAGTGTCCTGTGGTTGGTTCCAGAGGATTTCAATCTCTAGCTAAAGGCGTTGGGGTTGGGCTGCTCCCAGGGCAGTGGGAGGGGATCAGGGCACCTCTGGTAGGCGGAAAGCCGAGATTCTGGGGTCCATGAGTTTCCAACGGCGGGAGGGCAGGCTAGTCGCCAAAAAGAGAACCTAGATGCAAATAATGAGGAAGCCTCATGACATTGCCGGGAAATAGTGGTGTGGTGGCTCACTCCGGAATGAACGTGGATTTCTGGCTTTGAGTACCACTCGAAGTTTAAATCCCAAGTCCCCTTCCTGCATTGTAGAAAAAGAGGACTGAGGACACAACGCAGGTACGGCCAGAGCACTGTTCCCGCTTCCACGTCCCAGTGAACAAGTGGCTTAGGATGGCCCCGAGTTCCCCTGAGCGTGCGCCTGTTGGGTTGCAGGCTGCCCTGTTTCCCTGCGCAAGTTAGATGCTTACACTTTGTGTTCATTCTTAGTGAGTGGATTATTGATTAAAGAACTAGGGCAAAAGCAGTGTAACCATTCGAGAAGGCAGGGTCGCCAGATGGTGCCCAGCGACTTGTGTTGCCTCTGAGGGGAGGCCGACTGAGACTGTGCACCTGTTGGAACCTATACCTCCCCATAGCCTTGCAGTTGACCTGCTGTTGCCGGCTTTTCCCGTGGGATCCCCAGCCAGCCCCTCTTCCAAGGAAGCTCAATTACACTTTCGATTCCTCTTCAACCCAGGGGAAGAGGCTTATGTGGAACACTTATGATCTATGTACCCACTCAGACGTTGTCAGTGGATACCAGGTGCTTGGTCTGCAGTTCTGAGAGTTTTCCCTTTGCCAACTTAACAGAACTTTTGCGTTTCCATTTAACAAAAAAGAAGCGAGACAGCTAAGCCGGGAATGTGACACACAGAGCACTTTCTCGAGTGATTTCTGGGTACTATGTCTCTTTACCTTACCAACGGTGGAACCAGCAACAGAAAACAACATTTTTGAAGTACTGAAAGGTACTTTACAAGAATTTCATTATGAAAATTATCCCCAAGGAGTCCTTTGAAATTTAGCAACAGCAGCAACCCAGAAGCAACAAAAATGACCAAAGTTACTCAAGAAGTACCCAAAGGCATCACTGGTCTAGCCCAGTAAGAAAAACAGGGCACTACTGTCTACCCCACTGGTCTATCCCACTAAGAAAAATAGTGGAAGCTAAGTTTGTACAGTTTCTGTTAGAATTAAAAACTTCCCCCAAAAAAAACCATTCTGGGAAAAATAAAAAATATTGATAGGTGAAAATGAATATAAAAGGGGGAGATATTATAAACAAGGTTCCAGTGAACAATCTTATCTACTTGGAATCAATTTCTGAAGACATGATACCTAGCTCACAGGGGTTGATGCCTTCTCTAGGATATTTGAGATTGCCGTATTTCCCTGAAAAGTCCCAGTTTACTTTCTCCCCAGTTATGCACAAAGGCTCCTGTGTCCTATACCTTACCCCCCACTCACATTTTATATTATAATGCTTTTTCATTTCTGCCATACTGATGGAAGGGGAGTAGTTTGTCATCGTATTTTGCATTTAAAAAATCAAGTTGGATTAAACATTTTTCATATTGTCTGTAGTATTTCTTCCTTTGCGATGATGTCAGTTTGTGTCCTTGCCTTTTTTTCAGTGGAGATGTTATCCTTTTTCTTTTGATTAGATGTGTTCTTTATAAAAGCATACTGTTCTTCTACCCCTGCCAGACAACCAGAAAACCTATATTGACTGGAAGTGCACAGCTTTCTCAGCCATTCTCTTTTCTCCTGCATAGAAAACACTTGGCAGGACTGCCACCATAAATGACTAAAGTAATTGACATAATTCCAGTAAAGTTAATAGAGAGAACAGGCAAAGGCTTTATTAGAGAAATTCATGAAAAGTAGCAAGGGTATATTTTCTGCTAACTAGCTTTCATGTCCCAACTCCTTTACAAGCTTGTAGTACTATTTTTAATTTGGAACAACTCTGCTGATAGCTGTTTTTACTAAGTGGTTTGCACTAACTCATTTTATTGTCTGATCCTTCTGCTGATAGCCTACATACACCATGATTCACAATTTGTTCCTGTTCTTTTAAACGTTTCTTCTAACTTCACTTTTATCATAAGACTTTTGGCTATTCCATTTGAGCCCTGCACTTGGAATAATCTTGAATCTGAACAATTCGGCAGCATGCTCTTTATGGCATGAGCAGGAAATGGCTTCCAAGGGCAGAACCAGGTACCTTTCACCCTTTTTTGTGCATTTGCATAGCCGCAGTCTCTGTTAATTCTTGCTTGAAGGTAGGTGGTTCTGAAATGGGGTAGAGGAGAGAGAGGAAGAGAAAACCCATCTGAGCTAGGTGGTGAATTAATACAATGAAGGGCCATACAAGAAAAGTAAATAATCTAGGTAATCTGGCTGCAAAGTAACTTTTAAAAAGATAGAAGATATTAAAATATCATGTATTATTGGAATGGCTAGTTAAATTAACTCACAGAACGTAGTCTTCTAACTAGGAAAATCTAATGTAAAATTGTTCCATATTATGACTCTGGACATTTTATTTCAGGCACATAAAAAACAGTGAAAGACAGATGCTGTACTTTATACTTTTCTGCAGCATTTTCCATGCCTGTAGATGGAGGAATCAAACAATATACATCAGGAATGAAGAGTGTGCTGCATTAGAATCATGGGCTCTCAAAGGTTAAATGAGAGCTTAATGGTCATCTAATTGAACCATTCATCCAATTTCACTATGGATCTTCACTCTTAAAATAATGAAATACCATTCTACAAACAGCATCAATTCAAACAAACCAAGCTGAGAAGCAAATGGGCCAGAAATGTCAACCTTTTTTCTCTGAGCAGGAGGGGAGAAAAGCAAAGGTATGGACTCTAGGGAGCACATATGAGCTCTTTTACTGTGCGGAATTTTCAAAGGATAAACAACACTGACAGCAAAACAGTTAAGTCATTCAAATGTTACCATTTTGCAACATTCGCTGCTCCCTATCCTCTAGCCTTTGTCTTGGTGAAGTTCACAGGTGGTACAGCAAAGCTCTTTCAAAACGGCCAAAGAAAAGAGGAAGAGAGAATAGAAGGTAGAAAGGGAATCTTATTCCTTTAAACCTGTCTTAAAAACTTTCTAGCAAGACTCTTAATCACCAGGAGAATGGTTGGAATTACCTCTCCTTAGAGAGGTGAATGTCCCTTATGTTCCCAGGCCACCAATCCAACTGAGGACAGGCTTGCAGAATAGCACAGTAATCCTTAGAAGATGGAGGAAGAGAAGGAGAAAGGGATTTTGGAGGGAACAGGAATTTCAGTTCCCAAAATATACCTTATTTACTCCTGAGTAGAGCTGTGAATTTGTAAAAGTAGTACAAGCATCTTCTGATTTCCACTCGGACAATCTCCCAGGCACAGTCACTGGATTTCTTTTCTTTCAGGAAATTGTCTGTCCTGTTGAAATATCTCCTCAGTCCCAGCTTGCTCGGGTGGGGGACCCTGGCTTCTGAGGGTTTCATCTCATCTACTTTCATTTCTTTCATGACTTCATTTTCATTCTCCTCTTCCTCCCAGCATTGGTTCAGGTATTCTGCTTGCTGATCAAGTCCTATTTGGATTTGTTTGAGGTGTTCTCTTTCCAGGTGGATTTGAAGGTGTGTTGGCTGAAGATGTTTAAGGCCTGTAGGGACATTTCGTGGAAGGCCTTCCTCATATCCCTCTTCATAGGCTGGGTATATTGTAGAAACTCTTGGGCAACTCAAAAGCTATGTTTTCTCGTAGACATTCTATAGGAAATGAATTGTTCATACTAAGAAGTCTCAGATTTTGCCAGGTGACCCTTCTCAGGTGAACATTCAGTAAGTTACAGTCCAGAGACAGAGTGCCAGCAATGAACAGACCCACAAGGAGCTCAAGCCACAAACACTTTTGACTCATATCAGGTTTGTGCTCATTTTTTTTTCAAGCTAAAAAATCCAGAAGATGTGGATTTGGCAATGATGTTTAAAGTATTCCTTCCCTTTATATACGTGAGTCTCTTCAGCAGGAGGAGTTTTCTCATTCATCATTTTACAGTTACCAAGGTTGACGGCCCCTTTCCTTTGCCTCTGAGGCTTTTTTTTTTTTTTACTTGGGGTGACTACACTGAGTTTGGAAGTGATAACGTTCTTTTTTTTTAAATGAGCAAAGTGTTAATCGTGTTACCTTACATGGCTGGATGATCTATCCCAGCATTAAGGAATCATCATAACAAGACTAATGCAGGGAATTTCAGAAAGCCGAAAGCTGTGAGTCTATACACTCACCCACTCACCCAACTCTATTGCGTAAGAGGGAGTGAGCCTTCATGAAAATACATTTTGTGTACCTGGCGCTATGGCTAAACATCCTCTCTCATTGAGCTAACCATAGACATTGACCAAATGCCTGTGATGATTTGATTGCTGGGTCACCAGAGCCCAATATAGTTTAGGTTTTTCTGATTTTGTTAAAGTATGCTTCTATATTTGGATATTTTATCTTTTTTGTTTGATTTTTCTGGATCCCCAGAAAGTTGAAGAATAAAGTTGGTCAATTTAGCATGGCACTTACTAAGTAGAAGACTAAGCTGGCTTGGTTTTCTGTTGCATTAGAAAATGTCGATATTCTCTAAATATCCTTTTCTTCAGTTGAATCCATCCTGGACTTGGCCTTCCATATGCCTCTGATATCTTCCATAAAAGTCCTGGAGTGGGCTTTGTACTTGAGAATATCTTTCTGACTCATTAACTTCTCTCTTGTAGTATCATTTTTTTTTAGGGGTAGTATTTTAAAATTTTGCTTAATTATTATTTCTTCTTGCCTGGTGATTCTGGATTCTGTAAAGGCTTTTGTTTGCTCCTGTGTTTGTTGTGCACTGAGGAGGTATGTGAGTAGGAAGTCACCCATTTAGCCAAGCTGATTCCTAGCTGGACCAATGTTACTGTGGTAGTGATGGCTATTCATCATTTATGGTTTTTACTTTGTTTGACCAAATAACTTTCCTCTGATTATGGTTAAGACAAATGGATTCTTTTCTCCAGTAAATTAAAATGGGTTGTCATTAAAGAAAGCTAGCTTATTATATCATCTTTTAAAAAAAGATATACTTAAATTTGCAATTAAGTCATTGTAGTATGATAAATAACCACAGTTCCACAAACATGGCAGACTGAAAAGTTGGCTTAAAAAGTTCTTGTCTAGGCCAGGCGCAATGGCTCACGCCTGTAATCCCAACACTTTGGGAGGCTGAGGTGGGCGGATCACAGGTCAAGAGATCAAGACCATCCTGACGAACATGATGAAACCCCGTCTCTACTAAAAATGCAAAAATTAGCTGGGTGCAGTGCCATGTGTCTGTAGTCCCAGCTACATGGGAGGCTGAGGCAGGAGCATTGCTTGAATCCAGGAGGCAGAGATTGCAGTGAGCCTAGATCTTACCACTGCACTCCAGCCTGGCCACAGAGCAAGACTCTGACTCACCAAAAAAAAAAAAAAAGTTCCTGTCTAAATCAGTTGGCTGCACTAAAGGCTAATTGTTGGTAAGTGGGGATTTCTTAAAATCCTGGCTTTTGGGAAACGTTTCCTGTGGAAAAAAGAAATTATATGTTACTCTATATGCTCTATCTACATAAATTCTGATTTCATGGACAGATTTCTTGGGGTGACCAAATTTGAAGACTATTAAGAAAACAAGCCCTTTTATATAGTATTGTAAATTGACACACCCTTCCTAGAGAGGAAAATGGTAATATGGATCAAAAGCCTTAAAAATGTACATAATATTTGACTCAGGAATTCTCCCTCTAGGAATTGATTCCCCAGAAATTGATGATGCCCTTAAAGACTTAGCTGTAAGGAACTTTGTCACACAAAAATGGAAAACAATCTTAATGTTCAGCAATAAACACTTAAGTAAGCCATCAGTAGAAAAGATATGTGCAAGCAGTAAAAATCATGTGTGGGATTATATTTGGTCACTTGGGTAGATAAATTTGTAGCTTAAAAAACAAGCTTATATTTGTATATAGAGGCTGATATCACTTTTGTTAAATGTAGACATATGTATATACGTATAGAAAAAATATTGAAATATATATGCAAAAATGTTGAGTCATCTCTAACTGGAAGAATAATGGGTGGTTTTTATTTTTATATTTTTACTTACCTAGACTTTTTAAGTTTTCTGTGGTCAGCGAGTATTTCTTATTTAATAAGACAAAGGCTGGGCTGGGTGCGGTGGCTCAAGCCTGTAATCCCAGCACTTTGAGAGACCAAGGTGGCTGGATCACAAGGTCAGGAGTTCAAGACCAGACTGTCCAAGATGCTAAATCCCCGTGTCTACTAAAAGTACAAAAATTAGCTGGGCGTGATGGCATGTGCCTGTAATCCCAGGTATTTGGGAGGCTGAGGCAGGGAACTGCTTGAACCTGGGAGGTGGAGGTTGCAGTGATCCAAGATTGTGCCACTGCACTCCAGCCTGGACAACAGAGCAAGACTCAGTCACAAAAAAAAAAAAAAAAGACAAGGCTATTTTTAAAAGAAGATACATTTAAAAGGAAAAATTATTATATATCTGAAATGAGATCAATACTACTTTATTTGTTTAAACATTTCTACTCTAGAGTATTTTGAAAGAAAATGTAGATTCTCCCCAAAGCTCAGTTCTAATCAGTTGATATGAATAACATACAGTATGTGGGAATATACTATTCTTGCAGCTTATCATTAAAAATATGTTTATATTTGTATACATGTATTTATAATCACACACACACACACACACACACACACACGGGTTCTATAAAGTGCAAAGCCTCTCTGAGGTCCATAGCTTCTTACATAACTTATTTAATTTCTCTACCTAAAACTTCTTGAACTGTTCCAGTTAGAACAGTTATTCCCCATTTTGGGTTTACAGTGTCTTGGACTCCTTAAACATGGGTTTTAAAAAATAGATAATTGTATAATTAATACAATTGAGTCCCAGTTGAGTGCACTCCCACACTTCCCTGAAATTGGCCTTGGCGCTTAGTATACTTTTCACTAGTTTGACACAGTTCAGAGATACCAAGGAAGCTAAAAGATTGTTCAATTGCCTTACTACTGTGTTAAGTTCTGCTCATTGGTGTCAAAGATGGCTGCACATTTGGCTATTCCCGTTCATCTTGAAGTTGCTTGTATTTTTGGCCATGCACAGTTTTGTCAATTTTAGCCCTCTTACCCCAAAATTTCTTCCTTTACTGTAATTCCGTATTATATTTTCATTTATCCAAAAATGTACTTTATTTTTTAAGACGGAGTTTTGCTGTTGTTGCCCACACTGGAGTGCAATGGCATGATCTCGGCTCACCGCAACCTCCGCCTTCTGGGTTCAAGCAATTCTCCTGCCTCATCCTCCCGAGTAGCTGGGACTACAGGTGCGCACCACCATGCCCCCCTAATTTTTGTATATTTAGTAGAGACAGGGTTTCACCTTGTTAACGAGGATGGTCTCGATCTCTTGACCTTGTGATCCACCCGCCTCGGCCTCCCAAAGTGCTCCAAAAATGTACTTTTATTTTTTACGACATCCCAGTCACTGGCCTAGGTCCTGAAGCAGGAGGAATAAAGTGTAGTGCATGATCTCAAGGAGCCTGTAGTTGAAGAAGCAGGTGTGTTCTGAGTGTTTTAGGCAGTAGGAGGAATTCTTAGGGTTTCCCAAGAGTGTGGACCTCATTTCCCTGTTCTTTAAATGTTAATAGATGCTGATGTTGACAATGTTCATGACAAGGAAAGATGGTTGGCATACACATCTGTCCGTCTCCCACCATTAGAATTGCCTGTCTTCTCAAATAAAAATACAGAACACTCATCTAATATTTGGGACATACCCATACTAAAAAGTCATTCACTGTTTTTATGAAATTCAGATTTAACCGAGTGTCTTTATTTTATCTGACAACCTTATCTGCCATGCAAGCTCTCATTGACCTCTCAGAACAGAGCTCAGACATGACATCCCCTGCAGAAAGCCATTCCTCTGCTACTCTTCCGCCTCCTGCAGAGTTGCATTTGATTGTATTTCTCTATGCTGGCTTTACATGTGCACATACCCGAAACAACTGTGCACGCCAAAGAGGGCACCTATCATACTAAAACAAAATAGTACTCACACATACAAACATACATACATTTGTACACTCACATATAATTACTCTGATTAGAAGCGTTATTGAATGATCAGTCGCTGGTCATATCTCTGTTCTGTAAAGCCAAGCCATCTGAATGTATCTCAGAATATAATCAGAAAATTGAAAACAATGACAGTGTAAGGAAACATTTTGCCTCCTAAGTTTGGCATATGACTGCTGATGACTGCTCAGTCTGTCATCAGCAGGCTGTGCACTGACATGCTATCGTGGTTTCCATGGTATCTGTTCTTATTTCCCTGGCATGGCTTGAGATTGTTTATACATGTTCAGGCTTTCCTCAGAGAGGGCTGGTTAGCAGGGGCTGCTCTGTTCATGGAATTGTGTGGTGTCTGTGTGGATTATGAGGTTAACTGTATTGGACAAGGCACAATTTGACAAAATGAAGATCAGACTTTTTTTTTTTAAGACAGAGTCTTGCTTTGTTGCCCAGGCTAGAGTGCAGTGGCATGATCTTGGATCTCGGCTCACTGTAACCTCTGCCTCCCGGGTTCTGGAGATTCTTCTGCCTCAGTCTCCCGAGTAGCTGGAATTACAGATGCACACTGCCACACCCAGCTAATTTTTGTGTTTTTAGTAGAGATGGGGTTTCAACACGTTGGCCAGGCTGGTCTTGAACTCCTGACTTTGTGATCCACCTGCCTCGGCCTCCCAAAGTGCTGGGATTACAGGCGTGAGCCACCACACCCGGCCTGAGACATTTCAGTCTAGACAAGATAGATGTGATTCAGCTGAGGGGCA